AATTTGTGTATAATGTTTTTAGCATTTAAAAAAATGAGTATGATCCCTTCTAGCTCCATCCATGTTGCTGCAAACTGCATGTGTTTATCTTTTTTGAATGCTGAGTAATGTTCCATTGTGTATATGTACCACATCTTCTTGATCCAGTCATCTATTTTTGGGCATTTGGTTTGTTTCCATAGCTTAGCTATTGTATATAGTGCTGCTATAAACATAGGGGTGCAGGTGCCCTTTCAAATTACTGTTTCTGTGTCCTTTGGGTAAATACCTAGGAGTGGAATTGCTGGATCATATGGAAGCTCTATGTTTAGTAATTCAAGAAATCTCCACACAGCTCTCCATAGTGCTCAGCGAAATAAGTCAGAAAGAAAAAGAAAAATACCGGATGGTCTCACTCATAGCAGGAATTTAGAAAACCTAAATAAGAGACCAGGAAAAAGACTAATCAATACAAAGTAAAAATCAAAATCAACACGCAACTATAAACCAGAGACACACTGGGGGTGGGGGGAAAGGGGTGGGGAAAGGAAGGACTAGAGTCAAAATAAGGGGGGGTGTAATTGTATGTGGAATATAACCAAACTGAAAATGCACACATTGTGCAAAGATGAAAAAAGATGTAAGAATTATATAAAATAAAATATTTAAATAAAAAAGTTTAAATAAATAAATGAGTATATAATATGATCTTGAAAATATTACATGGAAATTTTATTTGTATGACTGAAATATTTTGTGTTAAATTTTCAAAAGTAAAAATGAACACGTGAAGTTGATGCATTGATAATGGGCTATGTTTTAAATGATTTTATTAGTGGAGGAAGTCGGAGATTGGCAAGCAGAAAAAATATGACTTCTTAGCATTGTCTTTGGAACATTTATAGGGTATATTTAAACTATAAACAATGCATGCTCATGTAAATAGTCATCCCAATTGTTACAAACTTAAAAGAGGAACAAGCTAGTATTTGGTAACTGAAAGTGTTGTGTAATTAATCCATTAGGCAGCAGCCTCCTCTTGGGAAATTTTGTGTTTGGTCCTCTAGACATCATTCACCATCACCACTATCCACAGAAACAGAGAGTGTGTGTATTTATCACTTAAAAGAAGTGACATTTTTCTCAACTAAATTTTGAACTTTGGAGATTTTTAAATACAACTTTGCAGTCTCTAATGTGTATAAAGTAGAATCAGTTGGAACATATCTGATAGTTCTAAAGTAATAAAAAGAAATATCAGAAGAAAATAATTTAATTTTATTTCACTGTATTGCATAACAATGTTAAGTGAAATTTTTTTTAAGTGTTATACATTGTTTCTTTTTTTTTTTCTTTCTTTATTTTTTCTACCTCAGCTATGTTTTGCTTTTTTGGAATAGTGAAACTGTAATGAAATAAAGAAGTACTTAATTTAGTTTGCCAGAGTCTAACCTAATCAATTAAAAACAGATTCTTCTTTGACAGAAGAGTCCCTAAAATGAATTTAAGAGAACATAAATGTAATATCATTTCAAATTATAGTTCACTCATGATTCTTTGGACAGAACATCTTTTTCTAAGTCTATTTTGAGCACCTATATCACTCTTAAGTGGCTGTTTCTTTGACTATAAGACTCCATCTATTTGGTTTTCATGAACATACTGTCTTGAAATTCAAACATCAGTCTGTCTTCTGGGAAGAATAGTTACTGGGGTATAACTTTGAAAATCCATAATCCTCATTTCATGCTGACAGATAATTCTGTCTTCAGTTTAGAACCAGAAACAGCAAAATTTAATAAAGAGAACACATGAAGAAATGGTAGAGTTGCCAAAGTTCTCTGAATTCAGGTCATCACTGTATGGATTCATTGTTTAGTGTGAGAATAGCCTAACAGCAAGCTTTCACTCATATGTAAACACATAGACACATAAAATACACATTCAAAAGCCAATGAAGAATGCCTTCCTGCTGTTGTGGCTGAACTTCAATAGTTTTTAACGTAGAGAATTGACTGAATGAGGCTTCATAAGAGTTGAGAAAGGGATAGTCAGAGAATGTAGATAAATAAGATGTGGAAGTCTTATCGGGCTGCTAAATGGGCAGAGTTTAAGAGATAATATTGTACATTCATGTGCCTATCTGGAATAAAATAGAGATTTGTCTCTGATTTGTGCCTTAATATGTTTCACAATTCTTAATACTTCAAGCCATGAATTCAGTTTTAATTCTAGGCTTCCTTTGTTTAGTGTTTTGAAGCAGCAGGTTTAAGGGAAAATATATAATAAATTGTTTTTCATGATTTATTTCCCAAAGATTTAGTAAAAATGAAAACACACTTCTGTGATGCAATATGCTCATGAAATTAAAAATGGATGCTTTTCATAAGAGAAAAGAAAAAAAGGTCATACTTTTCCCATTTTCCTTACCAATTAATCAACATATTAACATGGAAATAGAATTATCTGAATAGCCAGTGTTTCCAAAAATAAGTGAAACTGAAATTATATGTCAGTGTCTAGAATAGCTCTTTTAAAGGAGACTGCTAAAGTAGTATAAGTGATTTTGTTCTCTTCCCTTCCTGAAACCGGTAAAGTTTGCTTAAATTCCAATATTCTAATTACCTTGAAAGTGGAAGCCATCAGATAAAAATGAGAAAGCCAAAAGAATCTTATATCTGTGAGGACAACAAAGCCACCAAAACATCCCTAGACTACTAATATTTTTTTCATTTGAGTCATTTTGTCTTGTTAACTGTGATTCTATTGCCTGGAGATATATCGCCTCCATATAAATGTATTGATTAAAAGAAAAAAGAACAATTATGATTGCCTTTTCCTATCTCCCTCCTGTTACATCTTGTGCTCATGTTCTTTCCCTCCCTCTCTTCACTGTATATAAACCAATTATTCTGATCTTTCTTTTCTTTGCATGGAAATGCTTGTCTCTGGACTTTTATGCAAGCTAGACTCATCCTCAAGCATTTCCCCTGTTCCAATTTATCTGAACAATACCGCATATCTATGAACTATACTGTACATGATAATGTATTTTTCATCATCTTTATTTAGGTGACCCATTCTGTTCCTGCAGTCAAAGTATTGATGGTTTCCTGTTTTAAAGGTCAATTTACTTGTGTTTGTCTCCACTAAGTTGTAGGTACTATGAAGGCAAGTATATTGCCTCTTTATACCAGTGAATTTCTAGTATGCTGACACATAACATATAAGAACGTAAGAGAAAAATTACATCAAATTTAAACAGGCAAGGATGGCTTTACTCAAGACTATGGCAAAAGGGAGAAATGGTGAAATAGTATTTTTTTTGTATTTATTTATACATGCAAGCACTGGGGTATAGGTCAGAAGTTGGGGTGGAGGTGAGAGGTTCATCATAAACAGAGTGGGGAGCAGAACAGGCAGATCTGCTGAAATACACTGCTGAGTGAGACAGGAGAGGTCTGCCTCACCATGTGGGTTAGCTCCCTAGCCAGCCTGGGATCTAACTCTTGCTGCAGTGGCTGGCATAGCTTGATAATGCTGTGTCATTAACCCTTGTGCCACCAGCGAGGCCCCAGAAATAGTGCGTTTAACTTTACTGAAACACAGATGGGAGATTTTTAAAGCTGGGATGAACTAGTGGGGAAACAACTAGAGGATATTGGAGAGAGGTTGGTGCATGTGATTAGATCATCTATATTTGTAAACAGTACACATTGAAGTTAGGCTGCTACCCTCACACAGAGCCTGGGAAGTAGAGATGCTCTCTTTCTTGAACATTACATTTCAAAATGATGGTTCCCAAGTTCTGAAAAAGTCATTTCTCCTTTACGAAAATGGTGAGTTTGGGAAAAGACATGTATCTCCAATGGGCAGAAAAAGTAATTTGCAATTGCAAATTTAAAGTAAATGCTCTAAAAAAAAAAAAAAAAAAAGAAGGTTAGGGACCTAGTCAGAGAGAAACTTGTCTAAAGTTTAGTCAAATTGAGGGAAATTGTAAGGTATCTTGGTCAAGCTCTATTTGCTGAATTAATAAATAATAAACCAGAAAATATGAACACACCATTATACTCTGGATATATAATGATTAAGGGTTTCTACATGACTTTTTATTTATGTAATTTAAATGTCATTGAACAATACAAACATGGCATTTGGCTTTTTATATATTCAAATTAATTGTTTAAATTGCATCTTTATAATTTTCTAATTCATAAAAAAAATTATAGTGCTTCACAGACAGAATGTATTGTTTTAATTGAACATTTTAATTCTGCATTTACTATAGCTTCTAAGAAATTACTTATGACATTAAAGTGCATTATAAATAAATAACTCAATATAAACATAGTAGCTAGCACGAGTAGAAATAATAATTTTATTACCTACTAACTGAAGTTCTTGTGTATTTTAAATGGTGTTTAATGTTGCTTAAATTATTGTCCTGTAAAGGACATATATCCAATCTAATTAAACCTGTGTAATTTCAAAGACGATCATTTTAGCAGCTATATTTATATTCCCCGAAGTGTCATTGGATATGGTTTTGCTAATGTTATCAGAGTACTTTCATTTTAAACTTTTATACATTTAGAATCCTATGATTTACATTATACACACACACACATAGAATGGCTGTTAATTTATCCAAATACATCATATTGTACATTCTCTAAATTATATGGTTTATTTTTTTCCCTTTCTAGCATCACATTTGTCTCTCCCAACTCCAGATGCCCAACCATTGTGCCTATTTATGGAGCATAATCCCAGACCTGAATTTCATTAACTGACCATAGGCCTGATTGAATGTCTACAGCAATGAGTTCATTGGGCAGACATTTTGCAAAGATATGGGGGGAGAAGGAGTTAACATCATCTACATCTGAAAGGACTAAATTTACAAATCAGTACTCTTTCATGCAATATTTTCTCCTTGACTAACTGGGGGTTTATTTGCATGCATTCTAAGTGGCAGTGGCATGGGAAACTAAGATTTTTGTCATTTTGGTTTACAACAGGCTTACCCAGAAAGCACAACCCTGATTTTGCATGAGAAGGACAACAAACAGAACCTAAAATGTGAGTCATATTGAATTCTACACTGCTATATATAACTGACCTAGTGATATGACATGGCATTTAAAAGATATAAAATGAAAGTTTGATTAAGTGTAATTGTAGACTGTGAGAAATATAGAATGAGAACTCATGTCTGTTTGCTGTTCACTTTAAAAGAATTCTAGTAGTCAAAAAAAAAACCTTAATTGTGAAGAAAATAATACATATATTCTCATTGATAGTTTTAGATAGTTTCAATATTATCATTTCTTTATGGTTGTTAAGATGTTTAAGTAGGATCCCTTCCAAATAATTGTTTCTGTGTTATATGCTGTAAATGCTTTACTTTTTTTCTTCTTTTTAGTAGCCTAAGTAGTATGGTCTAAGTACTCAGACTATATATTTTGCATCCTGATTTTTCTGGTTTTTTTTCTTTTCTTTCAAATATAAGTAGTTGGTTCAAGATGCTCACTTTTCTTCCTTGTCCTGTCAGAGGTCTGTCCCTCAGCTGCTTACTAATTGTTGGCATCTCTACTTCTATTTGGCCTCTGATAAGTTGTCTTTGATAACCTGCTGTTTTTTTCTTGAACTTTGTCACTGCTACAAGTCAGAGGTATCAGAACTGTCAAAAATAAAAGAATAAGAGGCACAAAGCTTCTGATAGTTAGAGAAAACATAAGGCCTGGTATCCACTGATGAATTTTCAACTGGCAGATAGTTTTCACTTTATCCCATTTGCTGTCACAAAACCTGAAATAATAAGGTTTTTCTTCTTCTCCCAATAATGGATGACGGGGCTGTTGTTTTGTGAGAATCTGCCAAGGTAACATGCCACGTGGCTTTATCTTTGAAAGTGAGGGTGAAACAAGCTTGCCTGGCTGCAGATAAGCGACTTAGACAGGGTCCTATTCAGATGTACCTGTCACTAATTTATCTGGAGGTTTTGTGATTCATACATACTGTTCTGTGTGCGATGGAGCATTAAATTGGTTTCCTTTGGGAGCAGGTCACATTCAGGGGTCGTCACACCTATGCTGTGGAATGGTGTGTGCTTGATTCATATAGCCTCGTGCTACTGAATTTTATCTATTAAAAGATTGATAACTTGAACATATGGTAGATGATCTCTTGGAACATTTCAACAGCAAAGAAATCAGGAGAACTTTGCTAATATATAAGTGTTTGTAATGAAAATTAATCAACCTTTTTTCCTATTAGCACATTTATTGTGATAATTAAGTCATTTTATATGTCTCCTAATAATAGCCTAGTTTTTGATGAATGCATACCTATGGCTCCATTAGTTAGACAGAGGTATATGTACCTAAGCATGTTATTTACACTGAAAAAAAGCAGAACTGCTTTGAAATGTCTCACCAAAGAAAAAAGCCTTAGAATTAAGATGTTTTCCCATTTACAATATATGTAGTTTTCCACTGTGGAAATTTCACTTTATTACTCCACATGTTTTGAAAGAAAATAGTATACCTTGGAAATTGAGACAGATACTGGTTCAAATTTGAAAGGAACATAAAAGGAAGAGATGCTTATTTTTGTGTGTTAAAATTGTGCTAAGGGACATTAGTACAGATGTATTTTTCGGGTGTAGGATATTTGACAAATGCAAAAAAAAAAAATTCTTGTTCACTTTATAACTTCCATGATGGGGTATGTGAAACTAAAACCTATTATCTTCCCTTGGGTTTTAAGTGTGCTCCATATTGTGTAAAATTAAGCCAATAAATGGCAAAGTGGTAGTTAAATGAAAGCAATCAGTAAAATCTTTCTAAAGTGTTTTAAGCCTGCATGACAGCAGTCTTTACTGTGGGTAAATGAGAATATAAACTGATATATTTCCTCTACTTTTTAAATTTAAAATTGTTCATCATATACTATATTGGAATGCAAAACAAACTTGATCGTTTCAGAAATAGCATAAGGAAAACTCTTCCAAGTGGATAAAAATGATGACTTTATGCTGCATTTGTATGGAATAAGTCTCTTGATTTTTGTCCTGGTTGTGAAATTTGGATCATTTAACATAAAAACCTGAATTGTCTTCACAATGAAGTAAAGTATAATTAGGACATTACTTTGAGAAAGTACTGGATCATTTATGCATAATTCACAATATTAAATAGTCATCACCTCTCCAAATTCTTAAACTGTGAACATGAAATATTATAAGGCCACCTAATAAACAGAAGCATGAAATAGATATGTTTAATAATATTATTTGGGACTTTCAATAAGTGTTTGATGAATAAAAGAGGGAGGGAGAAAGCGAGGGAAATAGGTTTTTGACTAAGAAAAAAATACCATTGTTCTATATTAGGCATATGTTTGCTCTCTTCTTTTCATGCTAAGTTTTTCCTAATAATGAAAATGCTCTAAATTTTGTATTCCCCATATCTTTTATGAAAATCTATTATATACCTCATTATGAGGTATTTTATACTTTAGGAAGCCATTTAAAAACACAGACTATAGTCATATTATTTTCATAGTAATAGAAAAGAACCATTTTTTAAGAGACATTTAAAGGATTTAATAAGTATTTTGTTGTTCTCAGATCATAATAGCATTTTTTAAGAGTTCTGGCTATCATGAATTTACTCTATTCATGCTGTATACCTGACTAACTCCCCACCTTTCAACTGCTTTAATAGCTAAATGTCACTTCTTCAAAAAGATTTTGTGTAGCCATTAAATTGTCACAATTTCTTACAGACTTCTTTGACTTTATATCTCTTACCATAACTTTTTAACAATATAACACAGAGAGAGAGAGATATAGTCCGTTTTACCTTTGTATCTCTTACACAATTTTAAGCACAATATCCAGTGCTTACTACAGTGCCTGGGATATAATAAAAATAGTGAAATTTTTTGAGTGAATGAAATCAGATAATGAAACCTAAATAATTTCATAAATAAGAATATAAGAAATGTGTATATTAAATGTAGAGTACTAAAAGCCATATAACGAAGTGGTTATTTAACAAAATAATTACAAATACATATTGTATAATAAATAGAAAAGACAGCAAGCTCTACATCTCAGTAGCTTCTTCCATAAACAGCTAAAGCCTACAGAAACTTATTAGAGATTAAATGCATGGAACACTTAGCTAGCATTGCATAAGAGCAATTATAAGATTTTCTGTAGCTATCTTTTAAAACATTTTACAGAAAAAAAAATATGAACGTTAAAGTAGCCAATTTATTTTACAAGTAATTTTTGAGAGTCACTATGTATGAAACTGTTTTCAGAAATCTATAGGAGATATACTATTATAAATTGTCACCTCCACCCTCACTGAATAAATATATAATACATAAATTCAGTACAAACTTAAAAGATACAGTAGAATTTGTGATATAAACCAGAAGTTGAAAATGGCAATAATATTTAACAGAATTCATTTTTGGCTAAGTGAAATAACAAATGGCATAAGCAAAGACATTGAAAAGGTATTTAATAAACACTAGTTGCTTATTTTGACAAGTATGTCAACTAAATATAGGCTATATTATGCTGTATTTGTTTTTATGTTTGGCAGCCACTATGGATGGAAGTTAAATGTGAAAGTAGATTAGGACTAGATTGTGGAATTTTTAACACTAGTTTAAGGAATTGGGATTCTGTTATCATATAGCTGGTTCCCTGACCATGCCCAGTCTTTTCTTATCTTAGAAACATAGAAAATAACAATGTGGTAATTTTGAATGACCACACAGAAATACCAGATATTAGGTACTACAGAATTTTCCTTCTGTGTGTGCTACACACATACATACTTAACATATATGCAATCATATTTGTAAGTTTAATATTTAATTTTTTATTGGGATATTTTCTACCTTTTGTTTTCATAGATTTCTTATTAATAGCTGTAGTAAAATTGTGTACTGTGCATTATGTAGTTATTTCAAATGTACTAGGAACGTTCTAGGTACTCCTATAAATTTCAGTTAATTTGAGTTGATAATTTTTGTCTTCTTTTTCATTACCAAAAAAAGTATCAAATTATCAATCCCAAAGTGTGGATTTGAGAATTTCTTTCTTCAATTCTGTCAGTTTATTGTCTCTTCTTTATTTTCAAACTCGGCTCTTTAGTACTATTATAATTAAGCTTGTTATGACTTCTTGGTGAATTGATCTTTTTGTCATTGTGAAACAACCCTTTATGTTTGGGAATACTCCTTGTCATGATATCTACTTTGTCCATAATTTTTTATCCTATTAAGTAAATACTAAATAGTCATGATATAAATAAAACTGATTTACTAATATAATATACATTAAAAACATATCCTAATATATGTATTTAGTATGAAAATGTTCCTAACATGTGATTCAATTAATTTTAATACTCCTAGTAATTGAACAGGGAAGTCTATCCACACATTTATTTTATGTTGTAAGATATTTGAAACTTATAAGATGAAAACTAAATCACCTTAATGAAAAATATTATGACCTGGGTAAATAATTATATGCAAATAGAAATTTGTAATTAATAATAACTTTATTGATTACTGTTCTTTATCACAGATTGAAAAAAATATGCTAGGAGAATTTGAAAAACTCACCCCAAACACATATATTAAGGTCTATATTATCAATGTTCTTTGTTCTACAAATTCTGATGCTCATGAATAAGATATCCAAAAAAATATGAAAACATGTAGAGATATAAAAGCTCAAGAAAACAAAAGTTCAAAAATTTAATGATGGTGCAAAAATGGAAAGTGTCATATTTGTCATGTATTTAACCAAGTGCTTTAACCTTCATCCATTATTTTTTGAACTATAAAAACGATCATGAGTCATTATGGAAAAAATAGATCTTTGTATTTCCTGCTTGCTTGGAAAATAAGGACTCCAATTTGAGTATTACTGCCCTGTTAATAAAATATTCTCAAGAGTATATGAGTATTTACTTCTTTAATATAGAGGTGAGAGGAGAACAATCCAGGTAAATACCATTCATGCTAAAATAAATATCCAAATATTC